TCTGTGTGCCAACCCTCCAGATGATGATGACGACTTTGATGTAGATGACTTCGTTAACCAATCTTTCGAAAAAGAAACTGGTCAATCAACCCAACATTCTTCTCATGAAAATCCCGTTGCTCTCGTCCCATTCTCAGAAGAACCTATTAATCATTTTTCAAATCAGATCATAATAAATCTAGGCACCGATTTTAACACCAAATACCGTCTGAAGTTCAAGTCCAAACACGAATATCTCATCACTCTTTCCGAAAAAGACTGGAAAACCGACATCAAGACTGCTCTCCATCAAACTATAGCCCCCAATCAACGATACTACATTCTGACTGACAATCCCGATATCCAAAAATATATTTCCGACTTCGTCCGTAATACTTATAACCAAAACATCCAAATATTCTTCTGCACCAAACGAGTTCAAGATGTAGAGAGACCCGAAGACCAATTACGACATCTCCAAAATTACCATAAGGAAAATCACAATGGTATTCTCGAAACACTTAGTCATTTAAAATTACACTATTACTGGCCTAATATGCGTTCTACAATTTCAGAGCATATTAACCACTGCGATATTTGTCTTCGTAATAAATACGAGAGACACCCATATAAATTACCCCTAAAAGGTCCACTTCTAGGACAAAAGCCTTTCGACATCCTTCATATTGACACATTTTCCTGTAATCGAGAAACTTTCCTCACAATCATCGACTCTTTTTCCAAGTATGCCCAAGTGTACAGTATACCTGACAAAATGAATACCACAATCCTTAGCAAATTACGTCACTATTTCTCCCACCATAATTATCCTCGAAAAATAGTCTGCGACGAAGGTATCGAATTTTCAAATAACCTCTTCAAAGAATTTTTAAATCTTCACAAAATCGAGCTACACTTTACGACAGTGAACAACCCGAATTCCAATAGTCCTATCGAAAGATTTCACTCTACTTTTACAGAAAAGCTCCGTGTTATGCACGACGAACGCCCCAAAGAATATTTTACTGATCTCGTTACACATTGTGTTTTAATTTACAATCAGTCCATCCATTCCGCCACAGGTTATTCACCTTTTTCTATCTTATATGGCCCATATGCAGAAGAAATACTTTTTGACAATGACTTACCTATCTACGAAAAATATAACCAACGACATAAAGACGAACTTCGACCTTTCATTGACTCTCTTTATCGAAAACTCCACGATAAAGAAACAGCAATTTTAAATAAACGCAATGAAAGACTACCCGAGATCACTCCTGCTCCAGCACCTGGCCAAACCATATATATTCAGAAAAATCCCCGAAATAAATTATCTGCACCTTACGTATCAGCCGAAACTACTTCTAGTAGCAATACCAAAATTCAGGCCGTTACTTCCAAAAATAGACCCACCAATACCCATCCTAGAAAAATCAAACGTCTAAGGAAAATACCCTTGTTACAGGATCGTCATCCTGACGAACCACAACCTGGCCCTTCAAGTGCACCTGATCCCGAATAATGGATACTATCGTGAACTGATAGGCCATGCTCAAGAGTTAAATCACTATCACCGACATATTATTACTGTTAACCTAACTGCTATCGACGCAACGCTTAAAATGACTCTAACTAACTTCCTATTCCTTAACAAGACTCTCACTACTTCCAACTACCGAATATTTGAACAATATAACCATCTCTATTCCGAGACACTTGACAATTTTCATAAAATAATCCGACCCCGTCAAAGGCGAGGAATTGCTAACTTTTTGGGAACTTTTATTAAATCAGTGACTGGCAACCTTGACGAAAACGATCGTATATTTTTGGAAAGGCACATCTTCAGTATCGAAAATAAACAAAATCGTATAATCAATGTGCTTAATAATTCGACAAGTTATGCATCAGAAACAATAAAAAGATATAATATTCTGATTGAAACCATAAATAATAATACAGTGAGAATCACACAAGATATTAATTTTCTTAGAGATGAATTCCAGCAGTTTATTACTCTTCAAAGCGAAATTCGTAATATTGATCGTTTGAATCAATTCATTTTAAAGCTTATTAGAAGTATAAACCTATCTGCACTAGAACAACCGAACATAGAATTATTTTCACTTTCCGAAATCACTGACTTAGAAGAAAAGCTAAAATCTTTATATAAATCAAATTCTCTTTTATCAGATAATTCACATCCCTTTGAACTTATCGAAAATTCACGTTGTTCATTAATTACCACAAATACTCAGTTACTCATCCTTTTCAAAATCCCGATCCTTAATGATCACTCTTTCCGACTTTACCATATTTATCCCATACATAATGAAGAAAACATTGTACTACTGCCTCCTGCAACTTTCTATGGAGATAATCGCTGGTATTCTACATGCACCGATGTAGGACCAAAAATCGTATGTCAACCCGCTTCCACCACAAGATGTCAGCTTCCCAGCTTAGAAAATTGTACCACTGCCAAGCTTTCCCAGCCTGTCATCCACCAAACAAAGAAAAACCTGATCGTCAGTACAAATGAGCCAATCCAAATCGTTGAAAGATGTTCCCAGACTCACCGAAATATTAGTCAAGCAGCAATTGTTTATTCTTCATGCCCAATCGAAATTAATGGACAGATTTACAGCACTACTTCAGAGCAAATCGAAGTTCCTGATATCATCCCTATAAAGATCCGCCCAAAGTTTAACTTACAGATCAACGAGTTGCAGCCACTCAAAGATGTACCACAGCTATCGGCCATACAGCCCTTACATCTAAGCCCTACAGTGACGTCTACAACAACTTGGTCCATGGCAACCCTAATGCTCATCATCGTCACAGCGAGCATTTACTTCGTCTTAAGAAAAAGAAGAAGACTCCAGACGCTTTTCTTCAAGCCGAAAATTTCCATTGCCGACTTGGAAAACCTAAAACTTCAAAAGTCCGAGGACGGACTTTCAGCTTAGCGAGAGAGGCGTTATAGGTCAAGAACCCGAGGCGTCAGCAAGACGACACCGCCAGTCGCGACGACAGCAGAAACCTTTATTAAAACTATTTTCCTTTTATATTTTAATTCATTATCATTCCAACTTGTAACACGTTCATGTCTACAAAATAAATATTTTTTTAAAAAACTCCTTGTTGTGGCTGAGAAACATAATTCGCGCGAAGGTTTTACAAATCTAGCGACTAAACCTAAACTTATCTGGACAACAGACTCTTTCCAGGTGCAGCCAAGATTACCTCAGCTCACAGAAGCTCAGGCTTCTTGGTTAAAACCAATGTGCAGTAGTGGATAAGGTCGAAAGGAACTTCACAAAGTATGAGCTGTTTGTATCTCCTTCAGAATTTACAGTGCAAAAAAACTCTAGAGAGAAAAAGACTGCTTAAAAATCTACTCTCTCTTCTTTTTTGAGACAAAACTACTCATTAAAACACTCAAACTTGAAAAACCATGTACATTTTTACAAGAAAGTAAAGCAAAGGCAGAAAAAGAAAATGTATTGAAGTAACCTCAAAAGGTTATCCCTTGTTCTAAAAAAAAGTTAAAAATCATCGTTCTGATCAATTCAATGGAGTAAGCTCAATAGAAGGTGCCGATGTAGGTTCTGCCCCACATTTGAACATGAAAAATGACAAACAAAATCATGTACACTCTAAGAGTTTTAGCCAAGAATAATCAATATATAAATATCTATAAAAGCGTTGATTAAAATGATATTCTACCTGTTCACATCACCTACAAAGCTGGAGGAGTGCAGATGGTGTTTTTCCTCAATGCCTCCCCTCTTCCCCTATGATAAGGGGGTTAGATGGTAGAATAGATATATTATCTAAATCTCGCCTCCTGTAATACTTACAAATAAAAAGATGTTAATTATTATTGAAAGGAAGCAGATATTGAGCAAACAGCAGATGAATTAATGCACGTGGTCAGATGGTATAAAAAAGAACTTACCGTTGAAGAGGTTAAAATGCCATAAAAATGGTGAGGGGAGCACCTAAACCAAAACAAACAATTAAACGTAAGGTAGATACAAAAAAGGGTGCTACTTCATAAACTGGTGATTAGGGCCCAATATCCTAAAATCTGGAAACTAAACGAAGGACCCACACACCCCAAAACTTCAACAGGAAAAATGACAGACACGAATTTTCCGGTCTTCCGTCAATCAGTCAGCTGACTGTCAATCAATGTCAAAAGTTGCCAAAATTCTATACTCCACAGATTCGATGCCGTATTTGTTCTTAATAAACTTCATATTTGAAAAAGAAGATTCACACAAATAGGTTAAACTGAATAACGTTTTTACTTTCAAGGCAACACGACATAAAACTGAATATTTATCTTTACTTACTAAAGGCCAGATACGTTTTGTATTTGAGGCTAATGATTTTAAAGCTAAATCCTTTTGAAACGACGCAATCACTTCCATTTCTGTCGCAGCGATGTCTTCGCTAAAATTCTGCGTAACCGAAGTTACGAACTGTTGGATATCAATTTCCATGAAGGGTGAAATAACAAATTGCGCTACTATAGCAATGTTGTTGGAATCCTTGAAACGATTTTTGAAGTTATCCTCCAAGTTAGAGACAATTTCTATATGATATTTACTGTCATATGGTTCTAATAGACTTTGAGATATCTTTTCTGAAAGAGCGGGAAAATGGCTGATATCGCCATCGATTAAGTTTGGTTCCCAAAACTCAAGCTTTTTGATAAACGCTTTTATATCAGAATCGTTTTTGCTAGTTCTTTGTCTCCCCCCTGAAGCTGCAAATTAAGTTCATTCAATGTTTCTGCAATATCCACAAGAAAACCAAAACCTCTAAGCCAGATTGAATTTTCCAGTTCCGGTATCGCCTCATCACGTTGTTTGTAAAATTGTACTAAGGCAATACGTAATTTTTCCGTCACTCTCAACTTACATGCTATGCAGAGAGAATGAGAAAGATGACTAATGCTGAGAATTCCTACAACATACCAATTTTGAAGATGTATGGCATCACTGGTGATTTGAAGCCTATGACGTGCATTAAAACTTATGTGCCTCGAACTGTATAAAAGCGTTCATTAAAATGATATTCTACCTGTTCACATCACCTACAAAGCTGGAGGAGTGCAGATGGTGCTTTTCCTCAATGCCTCCCCTCTTCCCCTATGATAAGGGGGTTAGATGGTAGAATAGATATATTATCTAAATCTCGCCTCCTGTAATACTTACAAATAAAAAGACGTTATTATTAAAAGGAAGCAGATATTGAGCAAACATCTTCTGCAGATGAATTAATGCACGTGGTCAGATGGTATAAAAAAGAACTTACCGTTGAAGAGGTTAAAATTCCATAAAAATGGTGAGGGGAGCACCTAAACCAAAACAAACAATTAAACATAAGGTAGATACAAAAAAGGGTGCTACTTCATAAGGGCCCAATATCCCAAAATCTGGAAACTAAACGAAGGACCCATACACCCCAAAACTTCAACAGGAAAGATGACAGACACGAATTTTCCGATCTTCCGTCAGTCAGTCAGATGACTGTCAATCAATGTCAAAAGTTGCCAAAATTCTATACTCCACAGATTCGATGCCAAAAATAATAATAATAATTTTTATTGGAATGTATATACATAAAAAATATAAAAACGACAACATTCCAAAAAGAAAGAGGATTGGCACCGCCATTTTTCACCTCCCCCTAAAAAGTTAATTTCATGAGCGTTTAATACACTTCCTTGCGGAACATCAGAAATTATATTTTGTAAAGTGGACATTTTGTTAAATATCTTTGTATACTGGGACCTGCCAGCCAGGTAGTTGTTGAGCCACAGTGAGGTATTACTAGGCAAACCATAATATCGTAGGTTTTTACATAATACTTCATGGTTGACCATGTCAAATGCCTTACTGTAATCCAACATCACTAATATGGTCACCATACCTTCATCCATGAACTTGACTATATCGCTGGTTACTTTTATAAGCTCTGTGGGTGTGTTGTGTAGCTTTCTGAATCCCGACTGTGTATCGAGGAGGACATTATTTACTTCTAGATGGTCACAAAGTTGGTCAGCTACCACTTTCTCTGCAAGATTGGACATCACAGGTAAGGTGCTTACTGGTCTCTAGTCCTTCATCTGTATAACGTTGTTCAGAGATTGATTTATGATATCCGTTATTTATTATGAATGAGAAACTCCGATTCCCAAACCACACTGTCTAATATTCTACCTCGACGTAACGAAATAACAATTTTTGCCCCAGAGAAACAAAACAGTCCCAAAAACTTGACAAAGGAGTTCAGAGATGAAAAGTTTGCAGCCGAACCTACATACGCAACATCACTGGTTGCCTACCGGTAGACCTTAACCGTGTTATTTCCCAAAATTATGCTGCGGATAAAGAAATCAGTTCACGAGGGACCAAAGATATTTTATGAGGAAATTTCTGAGATAGTAGTTAACATAACATTAGCGTCTAAAAGACTTCAACACAATACTGAGTCGCTAGGAAAGAATGATATAATAGGTATGAAATACTTTCAGGATTAGGTAGTTTCGAGCTCAATATATCAATAAATTATGAAATTCGCCAAAATAAAATATGTGAAAAGGCATTGGCCTAAGAAACGGTACTCTATCATTAATAAAGAGAAATTCAACTTACTGGTAAGTAATCGAAATTGTAAAAAAAGGTTACGTGATTTTGGCACGTGACACCACCATCCAGATAGCACGCATTTATTGTTTGTTTCTTCTAACAACTTGAATTAAACAGAGCATTAGGTGCTAAAATCAACAATGTGTGTGTCTAATTAGGCAAAATTATTGGAGTCCACCTCTTTAGACTTACCCTTGAACTTGGCTTACCCTTTTTGAATCTTTACTTGGACCTTATGACTTACTTCAGCCTTACTCTTAGGCCTAGACTTATCTTGGGGCTTATTCAAGATTTACTTACTTGAAGTCTGTTCTACACCTTACTTAAAGCTTCTATTGGGTTACTTATGCCTTGGCCCTAATGCCCAGCTTGTTCTCAGCTTCGCCCAGGATCTGGACAAATGGACCATTGATTCCATTCCATAAACATTGGAGTTTGCAGAAATAAGTCATACTTTCTTTTTTAATTGCATTAGATAATTTGTTTGCCAAAAACTGATAATTTTCAATACAACTAGTTGTAGTTTTTCATGTATGTAATGGAAATGCTGCTGATTAATAAAATTCTTCAACATATTCTGTTTCTGTTTTTCTCCTTGCGTCATGCCGTTTCCAACGTTTGCCCATATATCCACATCTTATACACTATCACTGCTCTGAATCAGTCATCGCAGCTATTTTCAGTTTCCAAATCCAGCAGCATTATCCGTATAAATACATTAACAGCACGTTTTAAAGTTATGATTTATCGCTGGTGGGGTCAAAAGTAAGCAAAGCCTAGCGCGGCGCAGCACACCTGGCGTTTGTTACAGCTCAACCCGCCAATCCAGCAACTAATTCCCAACTACTAACGAAACAATCATAATTGAAAACTAAGCGCGAAAACGAACTGCATGCTACGAGCTAATTCTAAACTCTCATATCATAAAGTAGACCCGCTTAATAACAGTTTCCCGGATCTTTCCATACAGGGCAGTGGTCGCCAACCTTTTCAGTATGTTGAGCTACTTTGGTCATTTTGGAGTAAACAGTGAGCTACCTAGCCGTAAGCAATGTAAGCCAACTTAAATGAAATTGTACACTGTTGTATGCGACATACGTGTGTTTATTTTACTAATACTAATACATACTAATAAACCTAAATAGACTAATAACTAATAACCATACTGCATAACTAGATCCATATCTACCAATCGACGGTGTTTGAAAAATAAACAAAATTTTTCGTCAGCTACAATGGCATGTCACATACGATTTAAAAAGGTAAAATAAAAAAATAACCGCACTATTTTAAACAAAAACATGTCCAGAAAAAAATGCGTGTTCAATGAGAAGCCTGACACTCAGACTCACTGACAATTTTTTTAATGTTTGAAGTATAATTTGATACCGCCATTCGAATAAAATTATCCAAATGTATCTGTAAGTCAATTACGTATTTGTTCTTAATAAACTTCATATTTGAAAAAGAAGATTCACACAAATAGGTTAAACTAAATAACGTTTTTACTTTCAAGGCAAAACGACATAAAACTGAATATTTATATTTACTTACTAAAGGCCAGATACGTTTTGTATTTGAGGCTAATGATTTTAAAGCTAAATCATTTTTAAACGACGCAATCACTTCCATTTCTGTCGCAGCGATGTCTTCGCTAAAATTCTGCGTAACAGAAGTTGAAAACTGTTGCATATCAATTTCCATGAAGGGTGAAACAACAAATTGCGAGACTGTCGCAATTTCGTTGAAACCCTTGAAACGATTTTTGAAGTTATAATTCAAGTTAGAGACTATTTCTACATGATATTTACTGTCATATGGTTCTAATGGACGTTGAGATATCTTTTCTGAAAGAATAGGAAAATGCCTGGTATTGCCATCGATTAAGTTTTGTTCCTAAAGCTCAAGCTTTTTGATTAATGCTTTTAAATCAGAAATCATTTCTGCTAGTTCTTTGTCTCTCCCCTGAAGCTCCAAATTAAGTTCATTTAATTTTTCTGTAATATCAACAAGAAAACTAAAATCTCTAAGCCAGATTGAATTTTCTAGTTCCGCAATCGGCTCATAACGTTGTTTGAAAAATTGAACTATGGCAGATATGATATCATTAAAACGTTTCAGCACTAGTCCCCTACTTAACCATCGGGCTTCAGAGTGAAGAAGTAGTTCCCCATATTGATAGTCAATCTCATCGGCCAAGGTTTTGAATAATCTTGTTCTTCTTTGTAACGCTTGAGCTCTAATCTTGTTCACAATTTTTACTACCAATTTCATAACGTTGTTTAGTTTAGAAAATGTCCACTAATGCTTGCTGATGGATAATGCAGTGGTAACAGAGAAAATGCGGAAAGCTTTCATCTTTACGACATAACCCCACGAGACCCTTATCACGACCCACAATAGCTGGAGCGCCATCGGTTGTCAAGCCTACCATTTTCGATATTGGAATTTTTTCAGAAGAAATGATATTTTTAAAAGAAGAAAACAAGTCCTGCCCAGTAGTCTGTCCTTTTAGTGGAATAAACTTCAAAAGACCTTCTTTAATCGTAAAATCACTGAAAAGCATCCTGACGAACACGGCCATCTGAGAGGTGACAACGACATCGATGGATTCATCCAGCTGGAGTGAAAAATAAGCACAGTTATCGAAGTCATTTCTCAACTGTAAAACTATATTATTGCTCATTACTTCTACTCGTCGCATCACTGTATTAGCAGAAAGTTGCATAGATTTTATAGCAGACATTATCTCGTCTTTATTTCTAAAGATGGCAAATAGTGAATCTGCAGCTTCTAAAAGCGCCTGTTTTATCATTACTCAATATTCATAAGGTTTCTTCTTTTGTGTAATTATCTGGGACACCCGGTATGATGCTTCAGTTTCAGCCTTACTTTTGTCGATTCAGTTTTTCCGTTCTTGTTGGGAATGATTTTTCAAAATTCGAATATACAGTTTTGTAGTGCCTCTCGATATTTTTAGTAACGGAAATAGTTGTACTACATAACATACATACATGTTTACGTTTAACTTCTGTAAAGAAGTATTGTTCTTCTCAATCCGAATGGAAATCGTATGCCTTCATCTTCTTACTACTGCTCATAATGTTTTTAATTGCAGGCCAACTCTAACCCAACCGCTGGACTTTGTGAGGTTCAGTTTTAAACTGCAGGCACTGTGGCCGCGCCTTGCGTATTTATTCCGTTCAAAGTAAACGAGATCGTTCTCGAACAGATCGCTCACCACAGTGTTGCCGCTGCTTGTGTTTATTATGAGAATTTACAAAATTTACGGAAGCTTGTATGATTTTTACATCTTTTTAAAGTATGCTGTGAACCACCAGTATTGCATTTGCGAGCTACCGGTAGCTCGTGATCGACGGGTTGGCGACCACTGATATAGGGTATTACTGGACAAGTGGTCAACCTCACAGATGCATTTTCCCTGTGTGCGCGATGATATCGCTATCTATCAGATATCGTTTCAAGTTGTTAATATCTGGTATGTGTTTTGTTTATTTTCAAGGATAAGGCAAGTCATAAAGAGAGTCGTGGAACCCTTTCGGGGCGTCGACGGAGCGAGAACACTTAGCAGGCACTCGTCGTCGAGGAACAAGGCGGTACGCATAGGTTCGATCCGTCGGAGCTTCATAATTAATATAATTCCTGACAATTTTATTAATTCGGGCATTTTAACGGTTTCAACACGTACATAAATAATTGTGTTTGACGTATGTGAAATAAACAGACATCAATTAAAATAACAGAAATTTAGTCTACTTGAGGTTAGGAACAATTTGAATTTCAAAGCTGATCCCATATGGCACAGATTTCACCATAGATGTCCGTCCATATTCCACTATCAGGCCGACGGAATTTTCCTTTTTGTCCCCCGTTTGCGCGACGATCGATTTAACCCCCACCCTATGCATTTCGCTCGTAGCGAATGAAATACATAATAGTGGCGTCAAGTAGAGTGTTTTTTGATACCTCAAATGTACAAGTAATGCACTCTCTTTGTAGCTCCAAAGGAAAAAATGGGGTAAAGTAGATTGACTCTATACCTCCCACGTCCTCGAAACAACTTATAGTAGTTCCATCTCCTTTTTTGATTTGAGGTGACATCCACCCGGTGACTCAACTTTTTGAGAGTTGAACTCCAGGTCTCTTCAAGACCTAGTTTCATTGTTTGAGATTGTATAAGCAAATAGTTTGCTTTTGGAGAATACTGAAGAACTGAAATTAGCTACATCCAAATTTACTGATTTTTATGATGAGGTCTCAGAAACAGAATTACTTTTGGAGATACCAAGACTGCGAAGACACTTAAAAAAACCGCTAATGTTACAGTTTCTGACTTGGTATCTCTAGATTTTTTAAACTTGGAGAATAGGGTTTTACAGAATCATCTTCCAGATCTTATGATTGCACTAAAATTATTCATGAATGAATTTTCCCAAAATCGTTTTAATTGTCTCCTGGCTTTATGTGTAGTGGGATTTAAAAATATCATCATTACCACGCTTTCTTTTTCACCAGATGGCATAATTAGAATTTCAATAAGGCGTTTCATTCTTGTTATCCAGCATCAACTTCATTTTTTCTTATGGACGCCTTATTGTATTTTTGCACAGATGCAAAGAGTTTTTAATTCTCATTGGAAATATGTATGTCATACATTAACATTGTCAAACCTTGTTTAGTCCAGAAACACAGAATTTCCTAGGTAGGCCTTGCAACTATCAGTCATTTGTTTCGTATACCAAATCAGACCTCAAATCGAACATCGTAACACAGTTTGGAAGACTGAGAAGAAGGGAACTAATCCAAGCAGTAGACACTGAGCAGAGCAGAGTCGGACCCTTCCTACAAAATAACGGATAAGATTTTGAACATCTTCTATGATTTATCTCTGCTTAGTTATGATTACTTTTGTTATTACCATCAAAAAAAATTTCATTTCGTGTTCAGGTTTCATCATACATTTTTATTTCCTTGAAAGTTTCATTCCAATACCAAATTCATGGCCAACTTGTATATAACTGAATTTAGATCTGTTAACTTCATTTAAATGTATAAAATATAGCGTCTATATGAAAAAACAAAGTTGGTGAAGGAAGTGCAAAGAAGGAACCTCGAACTGATAATTTGACTACGCCATCTTGTAGAGGAGAAAAAGTGTAATTTGCTTTGAGATGACACCTCAAATAAATTCAGGAAAAATAAAAAATGATTTTGCGATAAATCTGGTATACGAGACAAATGATTATCTGATAATTTCAAGGCCTACTTAATAAATTATGTTTTTTATAATATATAATATAATAATAACTAAACCTTGGCAATGCCAATGTATTTTCAGAATTAGAATTAAAAACTTTATTCATCTTTGCAAAAATCCAATATGGCGACTATAAGAAAAATGAAAGTTTATGTAGGATGACAGGAGACGAAACGCCATACTGAAATTCTAACTATGCCATCTTGTATAGGAGAGAAAATAGCAATGTTAGTTTGCAATTTATTGTGAAATCCGGTAACAAATAAAGTCAGGAAGAAATTGAAATGGTTTTGAAGAATTCGGCTTTGTCCGTCTATCTTTCTGAGCAGCATTTTGTTAGCTACCTAACTACGCAGCTTGGCCCTATTTGAGCAACTTCGTATCTCTTACTATTTCCAATGGTGAGGGTCGAATTTGGAACACCCGGTATATAGATAATGGCGCGCCCATCTCGTATGTTGCCGCGCCGCCTGCTACCTGCTTTTATAAGTCACTCGGATTGACTACCAAAACTGCAATATTATAACTCTGTGGTCCACGGCAAGTGCCACCGCTACGCGATCCGTCTGCCAAGAATATTTTTCTAACTTTTAAGGGCGAATGGTATGAGGTGTGAAGTTCCTCTAATAGGTGCGTAAAATTACCAAGGTTGGAAGTGTATTAATGTACTAACATCGAAAAACTGAGCAACTATCTACGAGATACATATCCCAATTTTCTACACTTTTCCAAACGTCAAAAAACGAAGTTTGAGCGATTCTCTTTTTTTCATCTTTTGCACGTAGATTCACCGCCATTGATTCCAAAACTACAAAGCGTTCCTTGGCATAGTAGTGACTTAGGTCCGTATCGTCAGTCGTCCCTACAATTGTAGGGCGCCTTTATCGCCTCCTTGATTGTCATAGTTTTCTACTTCTCCGTGTCAGAACTGTATTTTGAGGTTATGTCACAAACATCTATTTGCATCAAATTGTGCTTACTTTTAAGTTATATCATGTTTTATCAGCCTGAAATTTCCTACAATTTAAAAAGAAAACATATCTTCACAATAGGAGAGCGCTGACGCTGACACGGGACAAGTGTAATCTAGAAATTTTTGAAGGAAAGAAAGAAAGTATGGCAATCAAGGCGGCCATAAAGGCGCCCTACAATTGTAGGGACGACTGACGATACGGGCCTTAGTGCCAGAATTCCTCATTTTTCAAATTGTGGCCAAGGATTAGTGGATATACAAACAGTTCGACAAACAGGCCAACAGATAGATATACGGAAATTAGTTCATGGTTTTGGTGATGTGTACGTCGTGTCACAATCAAAAAAATAATTTCTTCCACGCCGTTTGTCAGTAAAAATCTACTGAAAATCAGGAAACAATTGATATAATTATCTGACACTCGCAACTTTTAAGTACCTCTTTTATCACAGAATAAATGCCGTAGAGGGCGTCACAGTCCTCTTGATATACGATTCTCATTCAGTCGGAAAATGAGTACCGATTATAGAACGGATGTTGCCTACCGATAAAAAAATTCTATGGCTACGACGGCGACGGATATACGGAAGCATCCCTTAGCCCAAAAAGGCCATTCTGGGAGTAACCCTGTAAAGAATCTCAACGGTGATAAAGCATTCCACTCGAATATATATTTCTGCTAAAATGTACCTAAATTTTTTCCTTCATACGACCGAAATAGA